TCAACTTGGTGCATTAAAGTTTTTTGTGACATCTCATTCTAAAGGTGTTTTGTTTGCATCTCTGCACCCCAAATAATCTCCTTGTGTATACACCATCAGGGGTGAAATGTTCCTAAAAAGTTAATTTCTCTTTAGGGAAAGTAACTTTCTTGTTCACTTTCCCTCACATTTCAATGATTTCCCTCTTAATACATGATAGTGGGAAACAATTAAGAAAATTTCTTTCCCTCACACTAAATAGATTTTCCTTTGTAAAATGGTAAATCTATTGGATAAGAAGTTTCTGTTTAATATAAGACTGTATATGAAGAATGCAAATAGTTATGAAATTGGGTTGATAAATGCAATACTCCATACAAACAAGTTTATTCATATGTATTAAAATTTTAATGGAACAACAGTATATTTTCCGATACAAAATCTTACCTCCTCTCACATGTGGATATGCAGAAGTGGGAGGTGGAAGTCTAGTTGCATGTGTTGAACATTTTATAGAGGGCAGTGCTAGTCAAGAAAAGCTATTTTATGAAAGGAGGTAAGTATCTATTGGAAATACATTTTCAGTGTAGGAAAATGCTAACTTTTATGACTCTGCATGCATTTAAATGGAAGAACTAGGGAAGCTCACTACTTTTTAATGTTTATAAATATTTTAGCTAAAACAGAAAACTACACAATCCAATAAGTTTATCATGAATAAAATTACATCAAACTATAGATTAAAGAGTCAATAGACTAAGAACAAATAATCATCACATTTACTTCTTTATAAATATTCTTGACTAGAAACTTCAAGAAGGATTTACTAAATGGCATAGGTCTAATTCCAACAACAACCAACAAAAAAAGAAACTGTTCAACAGTGCAAATGTTGTTGACTAGAGCTAGCAAAAAACTTTAAAAGATTTCTTCACTAAGTAACCTAGGTCTTAATTATTTCAACAAAAAACAGTTCAACAGTTCCCAACCAAAATTCAAGCACTCTTGCCAGAATCCATTTCACTAGAAGTTATGTCTCTGATGGACATGTCTAATATGATTTTAGTAGTGTAAGTTCTTTCCTTAATTTAGATATTTTACCATAAATTTCTACAGTTTCTTCAATGATTTGGACTCTGTATCACCAGTGGTTGCCATATTTTAACCACTGTGCTTGATGCTTGTGCTCGGTGACTAATCCACTTTGTTCCGTAGACATTTCCTGGAGATAAAAATTTGCTGTTTAATGTCTCAAAGGTATTTTTCAGTGAAGCTTCCTGTACTGATGAAAATTTGTATTTTGCCTGCAATAATTCAGACATTTGTGGAACCAGTCTTGACTGTATTGATGCATCTTTCAATGATAGTTTGATTCTGTGTGTCATGCAATGGATATCAACAGTGTCTGGTAGAAACTTCAAGAATTTATAATACACTCCATTTCAAATTTGGAAATTCACAGCAGCTCCATCAGCCACAAATGAGACTAGTCTGACAAATAATCCACTTGTAAATATTTTTTTGACCTGGTGCACAAATGATCGAAAATGTGGTCTGGATCAGATTTTTTCCACATTGCACATACACATAAAAATAGAGTGCAAGGTTCATAATCTTTCAAGTATTGCACATACACAATTTCCTCCTCCAATGAAGAAACATCTGTACTACCATCACATAATACAGAAAAAATATGCTGCTTTGAATATCATTTACCAAAGCCACATTCAAGTCTTCAGCAATTTATTTCACAAACCTTGCACAAGCTTTATCAGATGAATACTTTGATGTAATATTGGAACACTGAGATCCACAACACCTTTCTATAAGCTGAAAATCACCAGTGAAAGCTTTATATGACTGATTGCATTTTTCAATTTTGAATGCTATCACAAATCTTTTGAACATCAGTTCTTTGTTCACTTCATCTAGTTTTGAAGCCGATTTAACTATAGGCCGCTTTTCAGGTGGAGTAATTTTTGACAAAGCCTTGCAGTGACTGTGCAAATCACTGGATTTGTGTATTTTTCATAGTTGTTGTTCTCTTAATAAAAGCACTAGATGGCCAACTTTACTGTAATATGTGACACAATAGGAACACCATATCTTATTCTGTTCAGTTTCAAGCCATGGTTTGCCTATCTTCCAGCTGGTCTGAAACTTTTGTTCTTGTTTACTGAGCTCATAATCTATTTAACTAGCTGATGATACTCCTTTGCTTGGCCTCCCTTGCTTGCCCTTGAAGAGTAACCTCAGCTAAAATTAATGTTTTATCAGGTAGATATAGTTGAACATGTGGTATTGCAGGTAATATTAAATTCAGAATTTAAACAAAGTAGCCTACACGTTGCACCAAAGCAAAATTGGCTTATATTACTAATGTGATAGAAGACTAATGTTAAGCCTATACATTTTATTTTCTTATATTATTAATGTGATAGAAAACTACTATTGAGCCTATAAATTTTCTTTTCTTACCAACAACAGAAGAGGAAGCTTCTTTAAGTTCATACTCTACACTGACACTTACACTGTCTCTGTCAATAGGCCTATACATTGGGGAATCTTTTTTCACAAGTTTCACATATATTATTTTATAAGAGGTATCTCATGACTGTCTGATGTTACAGTGTCTGTGGGATGTTGCTACCTTCCTGGCCTTCTTCACTGCCACTATTTGAATTAGTGTCGTCAGGCCTGTCAGTGCAAAGCTGGAGGTAGGACAGATAGGATTAAAGCCTTACCACATTTTAGGCTAGTGAACACAGAACTTTAAAAATGTTATTAATCAATACAGCAGAGAATCTTACTACTTTTATACAAGCTATATGTACACACACAGCCTCTGGCAGCTGATAGCCCTACCAGCAAAATGTAGCTTCCTCTGGGTCTGCAGTGGATTTTATCTTGTACTTAGCAGTTTGTGATGTAGGGAGGGTTAGGACTGTCCCCCTGATTTCTTTTTTTTTTTTTTTTTCCTTTTTTGTAAATCCAAAATTCAGAAGACTCATGTTGATAATATAATTAGAATTGTCTCAAATTCACTAGCCTTCATGTCTTGCCACCTATCTGTCACTTTGTGTGCTATACCGTAGTGTAGTGAATACTAAAGTCACAGTCTGTAGGGGAATAGTTTTTATGGTTCCTTAAAGAGATTTAAAATAATAGTTTATATTACAGACATTTTAAAGGAATTATTTTGTTTATTTTTACCCAATAGTAACACATAAATCTGGTAGAATGATAAAATTATTTATTTATATTTGACTTGAAATGAAAACAAACTTACAAAATGATCCCAAGACTACCACACATGTTAAATTGTGACTCTGATAATTAAAGATAGCTGCCCACATAGCATGTTTCCACATTCTTCCAAACTGCATGTATGTATCTTATTGGGGGAAAAAAAAAGGATGAATTTTTGAACAACATAACATGTAAGAGAATTAAAATTCAGGGTTATAGTGGTTTGGATAATTTCTATATAGATCAGGGATATTGACATTTTGGTCTGATTTCCTGCAAATTTATGGGAAATGAGTGACAACTCAGCGATTTCTTGTATGTAATATCTGGCCTTTCTGCTAATTTCCCCTAATGAAACTTTATTTCCTCGGGAAAGCATACATTTTGACCCTTGACCATACTTTTTATTTCCCATGTTAATTGTTGTTGCTTTACTACTATTAATATTATTATTTGTGTGCTAGTTTTTAAAATTTCTTTGAGATATGATTTATATGCTCCTATAGTGATACTACTTGCTTCCCTAAAGGGGATGTTCCCCACAATTTGCATACCATGGATGTAGTGTTAGGATTGGTCAGAGAACTGTGACCAGAAGACTATACTTAGGATTGCCAATTTGCTAGGTGTTTTTTTTTCAGTTTTTTAACCTTTTTTCTTATGTTTAATTTGATCTATCTTTCTAATAGCATGTTCTTATATTACTTAGTGCACCAAAAGCTTTGTTCCAAGCCAGTGTTATGGCCTTCATTTCCATAAAAGGGGACTGAAGGCAGTCTGGGGGGAGGAATCAATTTTAACCATTCACACCACTATACAGTAGTGTTATCTATCAGTTAGTAGACACTAAAATGACATCATGTAAGTGATACTTTATATTGCAATTTGTACTGTTGTGATGTCAGTAAAACATGCACTTGCCATGAATCACCAGAAGAATTATGCACTCTATAGGCTACAACACAGCATAACATGAACTTGATAAGCAAGTTACTCTTAATTTTGGTTTTATTTTCTCTTGAAACAGAACACTTTAGGGGAACCTGTGGAAGTACATCTGGTAGTAAATTGTTTTTAAGAGTTAGTGCTTTTTGGTATCTGTAGTAAATAATGTACTGATTGATTTATTTTTATTGACTCTTTAAAGCTATATGAGGTAACAAGGACAAAATATAATTATTTCTACCTGACCTTTCCTTGAAAAAGAAATTAAAAATTTCATTGTGGTGAAACATAGTGAATAGCTGTTTTGTTATGCCTCTTGCACCTTATTGCAGGAATGGTTTAATTTCAATCAGTAAACTGGAAAATAATATGTTTTTGATAATGAATGACTTTGAAATATTATTGGGTAGAATATTCTATAATTGTGAACTTAGATAAATTCAAATTCTATCTGTATTTGCACATATCTGTTGCTACAGGCTTTTCATTTGAGAACTTCAATTGAGAATTTGGAATTTTGTCCTTTGTGTGATGTTAGCTTGCATTTTTTTAAAACTATTTTGAACTATTTTCACACAGCTATTCTTAACAGGAGTATCAGCAGAACATTTCAACTGTTTTTTATTTAAATAACTACATTATTTTGACAAAAAATATTCGTAATGGATCCAGTGTATCAATAATGGTCCTAGAATTTGTTTGTGCTTCTCTTTGTAATATTTCATTCTTAATGAGGCACTATTGGTTAAGTATACAATTTACATATGTTATCTAAGTTTTAATATTTTTAGCTTTAGTTGCATTACTGTTGGATTCTTCTCATCCAGATTCCTGAAAATTACACATCTCCACAAAAAGAAGACCATATTATCCAAGGTGTTTCTCAAAAAAGTAAAAACCTTGTATCCAAAGAAAAGAAGATTCTTAACACAGGAATTCGAAGACACCCCATCTCCAAACCTCGAAGGAATGTTCCTTCATCTAAAGTGGATTCAAGTGATGAAGGTATTGTGAAATAAGTGCAGTGTCTTTCTTAGTGTTCAGTCATTTTAACTGTGTAGTGTTTCTTAAGACTGTTCTCTGTGACTAACTCATGTACATAAATTGTTGCAACCTTCTAGTTCAGAATATCAATTTTTGTACACTCAGAGTTTTATTATTTTTACATTCAAGATTGAAAGTTTGTTCTTTCTCTGCTATAAGTTAACTTTTTACATTAAACTATTCTTTGATGTTTACATATAAGATCTTATAAAATATTAACGGTCTGGATAAAGCATATAATTGAAACTGTAAGAAACAGTTGTGTGTATATGTAATTTGTTTTTTTAAATAATATGTTATTAATATGCCAGAAGTATTTCACTTTAATCCATACTATTAAAAGAAAAAATGTTTGTTATGTATCTGTTGCTTTTGTGTTTGAAAACACCTGAAGTTTGAAACCTAACATCTTTGTTGGCCATTAATACTTTCTGTGTACACAGTAGTTTTGTTTGTTTATAAATTGGAAAGAAGAAAGCAGTTGTGTTATTTACTGTTAAGTTTGCACATTTTCTTATAGGCAAAGTGTCTAAATTTTCCATTATTTGTTTATTAAATTTGCATATATATAGGTATATACATAAAAAATTTTAATAAAGTTCATACATACATACATACATACATATATATATTGGCATTGGAAGTTTAAAGGAAGTTGGGGATGTGATTCCATACATTTCCTATGCCTTATACTTAAAATATTTATCAAAGACATTTTTACGTCTATGTGTTAGATATATATTTCAAAGTTATGACAATCATATCTTGAAAAATGCTTTGTAGAGTCTGGCTATTTTGTTTTTTTTCCATGCTATAGATTATTCACTTTCTTTTTTTACCATGTTTATAGACTCATCTAGTTCCTTTAGTGATGACATGCATGACGAGTGGGCCAAATACTTGACTGATCTTTGGCATTTCAGAACAAGAAATTTTAAATCCGAGCAGCAATTTAACATGGTCTCCTCATCTGTAGAACCTCATTGTGCTGTGTGCATGATTTTCACTTCATTAAAGGTTGGTATTTTGTATGATTATTTTTAAAGATTCCAAAGAGTGTGGTCAAGAGTATATAAGAAGCTTCAAACAGATATCCATTTCTGTTTTTAAGGTACTGTTGATGAGTATGGGTTAAAAAAAAAAAAGGAGATTTAGTGGAAATCATGCTTTTATTTTTATTCGTCTTACATTTTATTGAAAATACTGGTGGTTGTGATTTTTTTTCATAACAGTTACAAGTGTTAATTTGTATGTTACTTCATAAACTACAAGATGCTTGATCAAGTATTGTAGTTATTGAAGTAAGATTTATTTTGTATTCTTTAACCCAACAATTGCTTTGTTAAATCAACTCATCACTGTCATGAATTTGCTGAATGTACATTTGCTTTTTTGAGTTGTAGCAAAATTATATTAATGAATTCTGTCATTTGCACAGGTTTATTTCTGAAAATGTTAACATCTTTCTGGACCACAGAGTTCTCACTAGTATCTCCTGTTATTTTTCTTTCTCATGTTTGAAATACTGAACCTTATCACATGAAACTTAATTTAAACTTGAAAAGTCCCTAATGGGTCATGTAAGCTTGTGGATTTACTGTGCTAAAATCCAGGGCTCAGTTTCTCATGATGTATAGAGGGCAGATAGCCCAGTGTGAGATATGCATTAAAACATTGTATCCTTTCAAAAATCATTTTAACATTTGTATTTTGGTCATTTTTTAGTATGTTAAATTTCCAAAATGTTTTCAGATAATGTGGAAATCTATTTAAAATACTCACTTTCTTGATAGATTTTCAGTTGTTTTATTTTTGATTAGAGAAATTCATTTTATATATCCTTTCAGTTTCTTCTTTTCAACTGGATTAATGTTCATGAACATACTTATTTTGATGTGTTATTTTGCTCATTGTCATAGGTAATAAATAGGCTGTATGATCACTTAAGTTTAATCATTATTTATTAACTTTTATATCTAGATACTGATTATAAATATTTGTTATCCTGTATTTTGAATGCTAATCTGCTGTAAAAAAATGTATTACTACAATCCTTCTTAACAGTGGATACTCAAAACACTAGATAAAGAAAACATAATGAAGATAAGTGCTGAGAATAAACAGGAAGAAAATTAAACATACAGCATATTCCATTATATTAGAGGTTTCTGAAAACATATACAGAACATGTAAACAACTTAGTCAGAACAATATTCAGAAGCTACATTGAAATATGATTGCAGTTGGTACATAATAAACTGCTAAAGATTCAATGGACAGGAAAAAATATAATTTATATCATCTCCTATGAATGTGGATTTCAATGAATTGGAGAAACAAAAATACCAAAAAGTAAAAATCCAGGAGCATGATAGACACACAAGACTGTAATACCGATCAATCTGTAGTAGCCCTTCATGTCATAGAAGACCATACTGTAAAGTGGAATAATACTGCAATAATAAGCTAGGAAGCACAAATGAAAAAATGAAAGACAAATGAAGCTTTCTACACCCACTTGATAACACACCCAGCCAACCTAGCCTAGAAGTCAGCAGAACCTGTATACCCATCTTCAAAACATTCAAATAGTTAGTTAATTAAAGTTCTAATGGGGAAAATGCCAGTTAAGTAGTTCTGTGGTTAACTCACTAAACTTCCATTAAGAAGAATCAAGATTGAATTGTTCCCACTGCCAATATAGAGAATAGTCTTTCTCAGGTCTTCTCTGAAGACAACAGCAGGTTAACAGCTGAAACATGGGATAAAGACTAATTAGTAATTATTATCTAGTTAATAAAAAAATTAGTTGCAATTTAATATTTGGCCTTTGGTAATCATGGCCACTATCCATGATGATGATTGAAATCTTATCATCACACCTCTTCACACAGTTAAGCTATATTCCCTGCACATCTTCCTTAGAGATTTGCATGCCACTAGTCTTTTGTAAACTTTTACCTAATGTCATGAGATTTCTCTTGAATTGTTCTATTCCATAATGATGTCAATATTCAGCAAAAGCCCTCCACCAGTAGGAGAGTGACACACCTCTAGGTACAATAACTCTCTCTGTGCATTTGCACTTGAGAAATTCATTCTTCTCCTTGATACTGTATTGACCAGACATGTCTTAAATTTTCTAGTTTGTGTTTAATTTCATGAGATTTGCATTCTTAACAAAACTTTGATGCTTTTTTTTCTTTGGCTCTTGCTTCAAAAGCTTTGATTTTTATTCTGAACTAGCTGGGTATACAATATTTTTTGTTGTTCCATTGTCTGTGCAGATATAGAGATTGTCTGGTTTGCCGACTCTAGAACATGCAACATATAATTGTCCATGTGAGAAGCGATCCGTGTCTAGATCTAAACCACACAATTCTAAAGATTAGCCCTGAGCTTTGTTGATGGTGATTGCAAACGCCAATCGAATTGGGAATTGCAATCTCTTAAATTGAAATGGCATATCCGTTGGAATCATAGGAATGCGAGGAATGAGGACATCTTCATCTTTGAAAGGTCTTGTCAAGATTGTTGCTTCTACGATGCTGCTCATTAATTTTTTACTGCAAGCTGCATGCTGTTGCAAAGCTTTGGCTGGTTTATATTTCGCAACATGATAATTGGCACGCCGATTTTCAATTGCAGTACGTGCGGTGGCATCCCTGGCAGATTGAGTGAATTCAAAAATTCTCTTGGATAATTAACCGCTTCATCTGCTTCCACAACAGTGTCGACGGACTTTTATGTGACTGCCTCGCTTTGAATGTTAGACTGAATAATATTGTTCAGTTCGTAGACGTCTTTGTTCTTGGCCGCAAGAATACCTCGTTCACTCAGCCAATCGTGATTCTTATAATTGGTTTGAATATTGGGAAATACTTTTTCAACCAGTTCTTCTTTTGATGTCACTAAATTGCAGAAGTTATGAGGCAATGAAATTCGTTCTGAGGCCAGATCAACCGGCACCTTTCCGTTCCCAATTTCCAGCAATTGATGTGAGAATATCTCGGCTGATCGATCGTTTTGCAGCTGGACACACATATTTGTAGTTAATTTTAATGTCTTTACGTGTCACCACAAAGTAGAGTATTTCAGGCAAGCATTTATTTCGTCTGCTGGTGTCGATCGAGGAATTACAGGTAATGTTTGCCTGAAATCTCCTGCAAGCAATATTAATGCGTCCCCAAATGGTCTGATGTTTCCACGCAAATCTTGCAATGATCGATCAAGAGCCTCGAGTGATTTTTTGTGCGCCATTGTGCATTCATCCCAAACAATAAGTTTGCATTTCTGCAATACTTTTCCCATGCCGGATGCTTTGGTAATGTTGCACGTGGGAGTTTCAATGAATTGCATGTTCAATGGCAATTTCAAAGCAGAATGAGCAGTTCTTCCACCTGGTAGAAATGTCGCAGCTATTCCAGACGACGCAAGAGCTAAGGGTATGTCATTGTGGGATCGAATTGCTGCCAGAATCAATCTAATTAGGAACGTTTTACCAGTTCCTCCTGGCGCATCTAAGAAGAAGATTTCT